CTATACAGACGACGAATTTCCCGTTTGAAATTGAATCAAATCCTCCATTGCTCACATAAAACTATACCTAAGTTCTTCTTACTTGAGGGATGTGGCAGCTGCGGATTTCCGACGAAATAAGAGAATCTACTCCTGTGGTATAGGGATAGGACTTGGTATTTAGAAAGCTTGAATTAAATTTCGTTCTCCGTAAACCACTGATAAGCTTCGTAAAGTGTTTCGTGAAGTTATAACGAACCCTCGGGATCTGCTACTGTACTCCAGATTTGGGGGTCGTCTACAAACAGTATTGTTTTTGTCCCTAACACAATCGGTAGATCGAATACGAATGCGAGGAAAAGTGAGGGACCAAGTACAGTCCCTTATGGAACACCGCGGGTAACGTTAATAGAACCGGATAAGGAATCGGAAATACGAACTGATATAATCCGTTGTTGGAGGAATAATCTAACTCAGTCAACCACGAGACCTTAAATGCCGTAATTGTAGAGCTTCTGTAAGTTGGTTGTTTACCCGATCCAATCTTTTCGAGAGGTCACGATAAATCACACCTACATCGACTGATCTGGTCCATTCATCTGGAACAACAAACAAGTTACTGAAACAGGATTGCTTTCGCCTGAACCGATGTTGAGCGAGCGAAAGAAGGTTGTGTCGTCCTAGGTGTTTCATCAGTGAATCTGCCACAGATTCTTCCATGACTTCCGATAACACTGGCAGTAAGGTTACAGGTCATTAATTGGCGGGGTTACTACGACAACCACTTTTTACATGGGTGGAATAACGCGTTGTTTTCACGATTGTGGGAGAGTTGCTTGGTCGAACATTCGTTCAAATAGAATGGCTAGTGTTTCGGATGTGATTCGCCAAAAGGATAAAGGATTTCGTCGATTTTGTTCCGATAGATGCAACCCACCTCCCCCCCCCCGCTTGTTCTACACTCACAATAGACTTACTGAATAATTCAAAGCCCGTGCGGATGAGACTTGGGCTGGATTCAATTAAGCATACACATTGAAACTGGACACATGTTCGGTTCGAGACTTTCATCGAATAAAAATGACCTTCAAACACCACGTTGCAGATTTCGTTCTCCGATAAGAGACGGCTAATCGTTGCATCCTTACCATCCAATGACACCACACGCACACGAGAGCGCACGGTAAAGTGTGACACTGTTAACACGTTCGGACAGGTTTCCGGATGCTGTGGTCTACGGAAGGCGAGTCACAGTGAGGTCATTGCCCGATCTAGCAAGTGACATCCAAACAACCTTATAAAGGATAATAGCAACCACAAAATTCAGAACCACACTTACAACAGATGAATCCGTTCACTGGGCACAATAGAGAACAGATTGAGATCCGTTGAGCGAGTTTAGCCAACGGGTGTGGATATTGTTTTTTAAGAGTCGAAAAGCAGTCCGTATCCGACCGGTAAATGACGACCCGACATTCCGATCTAGTTGAATCCCAAGTAACTGTGCGCAATCCTTTGTGTCGGTACCGATTGACGGTCACCGTGATCCCTTGCGTTGGAGAAATTCACTGGAGTGACATTTTTGATCAAATGATTCATATAAAGCGGAGTATTTCAATGCGACATTCAAGACTTCTTCAAACACATTCGAGAGCACCGAATCACAGAGTGCTTGTTCATCTTCATACCACGAGTACAATGACTAGCCAACTTCGAACTGTTGATTTGATCTTAGAAGGACCTGAAGTCTATTAGTTAGTTGGTAGATCGAACATAGTGTAATCGTACATGTGATACTTAGTTTCTTTTAGGAAGCCATCAGTGAATTTGGGGTCATTGTTTATATTTTGCTATAGGATAGCGGTGCGAAGTTGAGTGAGCAGGATGACTGTATTTACCGAACTACCGTTTACCTACTAAATGAGATTTTAGTAGACAATACGGTTTTGCAAAACCCGTCCACCTTCTAAATTGCTTGCTGAACGCACTGCGATTATTCAAACAAGCGACAACTGAGAATATTTCCGTTTCAACAGCACGTTTATTTTCCGAACAATTTTAGCAGCAGTACGTACTCAAAGATAATACAATGAAAATGAAACGATACAATGGCATGGATATGAGTAATACGAACCGATTGTTCTTCGTGTTTACGCACAAGCCTAGGTTCGACCAGTCAACCATAGGCCCGAAATGCACGATTAAAATCACGAGCCACATTGAACAGAAAAGTAAAATGATAAAAGTTAGAAAAGTGAAATCACAGTGAAGTGCGAAAATAATCACAATTTCGAAAGAGTAGACGAATGCATTTGACCAACGGGATCACCTCGAATCAAAAACCGTATCACGCGCAAAGATGGGAAGCGTAAACCGCCAAACAACGAGCGCCGTTTCCATCGTGGTCCTGCGTGCCCCGGTCTTTTATCAATGTGCGCGCATTGTTCATTCAAAAGCATGAGGACCCACACACCAGCAATCATGTGGAATGGGATCAAAATGGTTGAGAGAGGAAATCGCTCATACAAGCACGATACCCAAGCGATCGAGTCGGATTGATTGTAAACGAGAGGACAGATTTTCATCGGGAGAAAGATAGCCAGTAGACAAAAGGAGAACATGAAACAAAACGAGCATAGGAGAAGAAGAAAAAAGTAGCGTAGATTAGCACGTGTGATACAATTCATCACGAACAAACAGTGGTGATCCACAGCCGGTCGACAGCGGTCACATAGACGACAGTGCTTCACAAGGATCGGTTGCCATTGCAATAAATACACATCACAATGCACACAGTACAAATCATTGAATGGAGTTGGTACGGGTGCCGGTGGAAGATCAGATCCAGACTGAATGAGCAAAACACGTTCACGAATGCGCGACAATTCGGTAGCAACTAGTGTACTCAATGAACATTTACGGATTGCCATGGTTGGGTGTCGCCAAAAAAACAACTTATACATGAGAAAACAAAATGTGGGACAGGATAAGACTAGCTGAAGTAACGGATAGTTTACGGACCACCCATTCACAGGGCTTGACATTTCATACCACAAAGAATAGGTGCTAACGAGAAATCCCGTCAAAAACGAGCCAAAAAAGAAAGGGTTTGGACGCTCGGTGGCGTCGTTCAAGCGATGTCGCTGTTTTATCGAGCTACCAGCAGCTAGTAATGCTCCTATCACATAGCACCAATTGCACTGGGTTAAAGATACCAGAGTGAAACTTAACAGAACCGTTAAAATCGGAAGCAGAAAATGGCCAATCCACACGAGTTGATAGATTAGGCTAAATAGAAAATACGCGGGTCGGTGAGGAAAATGTTTTGTAAGGAAGTAAGCTAAAAATAACAGGCAATACAAGTTGAAACTCAGACGATTTTTGACCGCCAAATCAAGAGGAGTTTCGCTTGCATGGTTTCGCGTATGGACTGCGTACAAGCCACTTCGACAGTTGGCGTAATCTGTGCAATCAGGATGCGGCGAGTTCAAAAGAAACCACAGAACTTTAACTGCTCGATTGGAAACTGCCTTGGAACTGGATAAACCACTGTATGGGTAGAAAAGACGAAAAAACAGTTTTAGATCTGTATGAGATAGATGATCTATCGAACTAAAGCTTGTTTACGTTTTCCATGGTTAATTGTTTCATTAGTTTGAGAAAAACGATGAAAAGTTTAAAAAGCTCGTTGGAGTACGATTCAAATGGTATCATCGGTATCGTATTGTGAAATGTAATAAAGTTGATATCGCTAACTAATGCATGGGGAAAAACGTGCATAAAGCAGCTGCGGATGCGTAAGGTGGATCGGGAGTTGATCAAGCTGAGCGAAGGAAGATCTAACTAGGCCAATAGATTCAAAACGAGGATCTAAACATAATCTGATAGTTGACATTTCTCCCTATCGTTTCCGGTTCACTGGTTATAGGATCATTTAGACTATATAGATGGAAATGAGAAACATATACTCTGGTTAATCTATCCATGAGAGGTTCCCCATGAATCGTCTCCCTGTGTTTTCCTTCACTCTGGAGGGTTAACTGTCAACTCTATGATAGAGGCCTCCTAACCAATGTAGCCTACTCACTCGAATTCAACCAGCGGATGCCTATATATATGAAGCTTAACTTAGTTCACATTTATCTCACAGTAACTTGCGAGTAATGTTTTGGGATAATTGATACTGATTTGAACTGGCCATCCTTTAAACTTCACCTTCACGCACAATCCTCAGTTCTTCTAATCAACCATACCCTCGGAAACATTAGACTCGAGTTTGTTTTTAGAGCTCAAAAGTAATGCATATCCACCGTCACGTCCGGGCTTTGAACTCCGGACACACAAGCCTTCCATGCGATGGGTCCGCAGTTTAAAACCCGGATGGGGCTGTGGATACGCGCTTAACTCAGTGTTGCTAACCTGCTCATTCAATCTCATCGGTACAAAAATAGAGAAAAACGGGCGGCTGAAAACCTCCCTGGGACTGATATCTTCCACATACAAACTCAGGGTACCATAAAACAGAAATGCACGCCATGCTTCGATTTTCATGAAATAGTATGCCAACGCTCAACATGATGCATTCAACTATGAGTGTTGGATACGCGTACGTTCACCTGTTTTTACTGTACTTCCGACATTCATCAAAACAAGTCGATTACGGACTACCAAGGAACGGTAAACGATTCGCCCCATGAGTATGAAATCTGATTCTAAAACCAGGTGTTACACTGCAGAACAGAAAGAAACTTTATGAGAAAATTATTTATAAATTTGAAAAGGATTGGGGCAAACCCACTAGGTCCATCAACCTATATCTATCTATCTATCTATCAATCTATCTATCTATCTATCTATCTATCTATCTATCTATCTATCTATCTATTCGTTGTTAAATATTCTAAATGTCGATAAACTACTTCACAGGAGTTTAGATGAGTGATGTAGGAAAGGCAGTCTAAGGGGTGAAAAAATACTGAAACACGAGAGATCGCTACGTTTATATTCTATACCTTACATATAAATATTTTCATCTTTTGTGTTATTTTTACTAGCCGGTGATCAGGGGCAATCGCTTTTGTTTCTAGTCCATATCTGTTACAGTTACCAACACATAATACTCATTACCCTTCTGACGCTACAATCACAGACTTGGTGTGTAAACGCGTAGCTCGGTATCTCAGACTTATTTCTGCCCGATGTTTTCCATATCAAGTGCATTTGCATTCCAAAAGCCCCAAGCTCACTAACTACGCCATAGCATGTGGTGCAACGAAACAAGTACATTTATAACCAATAAAACTTCACATATGGTTGTGGTAACACAATTATTGAAATTTCAGTGGATGACAAAAGTAGGGTGGAACAATACGGATCCGGGTGACACTGCGGCTATTTGATTTGCCTCTATACAGTTTCCAGATTTTGATCGTAATCATTATTGTCAAAAATCCTAAATGAAATAAAAAGTACTGTAATGAAATCGACCGTTGTATGCAACTCGGAGGATAAAATATAAAATTACAAGAGCTGAGAGCGATCTCTCCAAGCGATTAAAAACCTGTTCCCATCTGCCATTTAACACACTAAAAGCGATCTTCACCTCAAAAGGAAGCATGTGGCTTAGAGACAAGAACTTCGCATCTGTTCTTACTGTGTGATTGGACTGGGAACGGAGGCTAGAGCGGAGTGGAGGTAGGTGTTTCCCAAATGGTCACGGGTCATTGGATCCAATGGCTTGTCGAATGACGCCAAATTGGTTAGAGTAGACAACAGGAAGCGTACCATCTCTTGGTGCCCCGCCTCACTAGCCAAATGCAGTGGCGTGCGACCAGCTCCATCAAAGGCGGTTGTCCAGTCCACCTTGGTGGCTTGGAGAAGCCAGGCGGCAACAATGACCTGATTGTTAGCAGCTGCGTAGTGCAACGGTAGCTTGTTCTAAAAGAAAACAAATGGGACAATAAGTTAGATCGGTTTAATGCATTTTGCAAACCCAGTAACTTCAAAAAGCCATTATTCTTTTGACAATCGGCCAAGTTTCTTTCCTGCCCCAGAAGATACCCGGATAGAATGTCTCTTAAAAAAATCTACCGTGGCGGAGAAACTTTCGCCAATGTGACAGAGTGAAAAGCTCATATACGCAGCTGTAGTCGGATTGATAACAGTACATCTTGGGATAGTGTAGTAGAAAAAATTTCAAACTTCACAAAAAGTCTATAAACTGACTTCAGGCTATTCCATAGCTAGATCGATTTACCTCACCGAATCCGACGTCAGTATTGATCTATCAGAGTTGACTGATTCGTTGACTGTCCAGCTGGACGACATTCTGCTTCCTCGTAACGCGAGTGCGTTGATCTACCGAAATTACTTGCTGATGCCCCAACTTTGTCACTGGCACTTAAACTAGGTATGTGCGCATGTGTTGTGAATAAACGCATCGCCTAACAGAAACCGTGACCAGTCACCTGCTTAAACGGGACCTAACAGGCACTCCATACGTGCGAATGGCGTTTCAAGGACGTGAGAACCGTTTGACTGAAAACTAGTTCTTTACCGTTCATAAAGCACACACTTTCTCTGCCTGAAAAGCCCAGTCACACGTTTACAGGAAAACCACTGGCTTGAGCAAACTGGCAATGGTACATTCATGAATAAAACATTAACTGGTTATTTTTGTTCCAATATACCATTATTACAAATTGTAAGAGAAATAGCAGCGAACAAGGTCGTTTGCTGTGATTCATCTACAGGTGAATACATTATAGTTCATGTCAAAAATGTTCAGTAGGGAGGGGGAAGGGACAAATCCTGACAAATTTGGAAGAAAAATAATCACCATTCCTGTCCCATGACCGGATGTTGCTCACACCTTAGTCATCGCAAATAGGCATTGGTTCAAACCATTAGGAGCGGGTGGTGTCATCGGTCATGCAAGGACGAGTGTTGTTACTGAGGGCGTATTACCAGCACAACCTTACAACGTCATGTTCCTCATGGAAGGGATACAATCACAAAAAGGTTTGAAGAACTGAACCGGAATTTAACCAAGTATTCGTGTGTTTCAGATGTTGTCACCCGAGGAACGTTGACATCTAGATTTTTTTGTGAAATCGACCGAGGATAAACCAGAGAAACTAACTGATCCAACAAAACATGCCCGTGAGTTCCCAAACAACCCTGAGAAATATGTTCATAATTTTTATCTGTGAGACTGGTTAAGAAGTTGCTTGAAGTGCTTTCACTATGACCCACATTTTAATGCCCCACTAGAGAAACTAAACAACTGGATTAGGAGGTAGAATTAGATAACCTCTATTCTCAAATGTCGGATCTGTTTCTGTATTCATCAAAGGATATGGAAGATCTAAAATCTACACTAGTCAGCACGCGCTATAAACTTTTGGGAAGTAAACCACTGACAAAAGTGCTAGGGATCAAACAAAATCGGGAACGAATGAAGGAGCTGGAAGAAAACCGAGATTTTATTAACTTGTGGCCGGGTAATGGTGCTGGAAGTTTTCTTAAACAGATCCGACTGTATCAACCAGATGAACAGCATACTCAGGGACTCCAGGAAATTTCAGAAAACAGCTAGGAAGAAAGATAACACAGAACAAACAGAAGTCACTCGAAAACTCTCTGGTGCCTAAAGCAAAGAAATGTAACAGACACTTGCACATTTGAACGGATCCGACCAACTGGAACAAATACCCCATGACTTTATGGCTCACCAAAGATACACCAGAATGGAGTACCACGCCGACCGATCCTAGACAGGTGTAACTCTCTTTACAATGCCGTGGTTAAGTGGCTGGTTGCAATTATGGAACCCGTGATAGTAAAACTCGCCAATCACAGATTAAAGGATTTATATGATTTGGTGGCTAGAATCGAAGACTCCAACGTACACGGATAACGCATGATGTCAGTCGACGTCAGATCTTACTACACAAACATTTCTATTGCTGAAACTATTGAATGCATATGTGACCACATACAACGGAACAATTGTGAAACTGGAATACCAGTTGGTGATCTAAAACAATTGCTATGCTGTTGCACGCACACAACATACAATTCCAATTCAACGACGAAAATTTATTGCCAAACAGATGGGGTGAGAATGGGGTCTATCCTTGGTCCACTGAAGAATAACACCCTCAAGTGAACAATTGATCGTTTCACTTTATACAAACGGTACGTTGCGTTTTTAGACGTTCTACTCAGCTGTTGATCGAACGGAACAATCCAGCACACGTATCACAAGAAGCCACTGTGGAACGATCAGTACATGTATCCACTACAAAGCTATGTGTCATTAGAATGGAAAAGAAATCTAATTCGGGGTCTCGCGACTAGGGTGTGGAGAACATGTATACACAACACAACTGAGAGTGAACTGAGATCCATTCAACTGGTTTTCCTTTGAAACCAATAACCAAAACGATTCGTGAACGTTTTGACGTGTCACCGGTTGCCAAACGAAATCACAACTGCTGGGAAGAAACCGATTTACACAACTGCCGAGATGTAGACACGCAAACTGAGTATAGTCGTGCAAAAAGCGATTCTCGCAGCGAAAATTCGCAGTTTATTCATCTTCAGGCCACTTTTGCGATTTCAACTTGAAAATAAATTACCTGTTTCTGTTGTCGCTTTCTACGTGTACTTATTTACCTGCTCCTGTGGGACAAAGTATACCGGCCGCATGAGCAGGCGTTTACCTGAACGAGTTAGCGAGTGTCATCCAGCCTGGGTGAACAGTGGGGTGATTAGGACCACCAACAATTCGATCGTTTCACACCTAGTAGAGTCAAACCACATGGTGAACGTGGCCTCTGATTGGTTCGTAGTCGCCGATCTAAGGGGACTAAGAGTCTCATTCTGGTCACAGCGGAAGCGATCAGAATCCACCTACACAACCCCCCCCCCCTCNCCCTCGCGTATCCTCCCAAAACAATTGGTGAGAACACTAGATCTTCCATGACCAACACCCTACGACACAGTCATTCCTCCACCAGCCCTTAATGGCCTGAACCAATGTGGGATTTGTGATGACTAAGGCTTGAGCAACATTCGGCCATGGGACTAGAATTTTGGTTACTTTTCTTCCCAATTAATCATGATTTCTCTCTCCCTCCCCCAGTGAACGTTTGTCACATAGATTGCGATGTATTAGCCTGTAGATGAATCAATGCAAACGGGCTGATTTGTGTTTTTCTTACGGTGATTATTTTTCCTTCATAAACACACTCAAATCTGTCTGATATAATTTGGAATCCGACAGATGTGGAATACTGCACTCCTTGATTCTCGAAAGACTACCAAGTTTCTAATCCAGAGCGTTTCAACCAATAAACAGGTTGAATCGCAGTCATAAATACGGATTGTGAAGCTTTATAATTGGGAGTAGAAAATCGCCTAAGAATCAGCAAATAACCAGCAATCAATGAGACACCAGCAAAGTCAGCTCAGCGGTCTGCTAACTGTACAAGACCTCGAAAAGTGAGTGTGATATTTAACCCAATGGCAGTAAAGCTACGGAACACCAACCACTAGCGCCGATGAACGGGGTGCGCAGCAGATCCTCGCGACCATGGGGTTTGTTCCGCCTGCTGATTATCGCACTAAAGTGTGCAATAAAAAAAACCAGACAACGGCGTAAACAACACAATTATTATAGCCTTAGAAAAAGGTTAAAATACCATCGCTCAGGATACTTTTGCTCTCGAAACGCGCACAAAACCTGCTATACCTATTGAAAATAGTTATGCTACAAAACATCCAAATATTTGAAAGAAAACCCACTTACCTGTGAATCGAACTCCCCCAATTTGACCCCAGATTCAGCTAATAACGATAGTATGACCAGTTGACCGCGCATCGCCGCTAAATGTACGCCGGTTAGTCCTGCCTCAGTTTTGGCAGAAGGGTCACATCCAATATGAATCAATGCAGCTACAACGAGAGCATCCCCGTTTAGACATGCTCGATGGATCAGAAGATAGCCCATCGAATCTTTCTCTGTGAACCGTTTCGCTTGTTGGTTTAATATATATCTCGCACAATCATCACTTGGATACTGNNNGGGGAAGAGGGAGTTCTGTTGGGAGCTTGGAAACCAGGCTGCTGAAGTACGGCACTAATCATCTGCGAAGAGAGTAAAATAATTGATTTATCTAAGGGTTTAATGGTCAACTTGAAATTCGAATCGAACAACTGATGAACAAGGACAGCGATTACGTAAAAGCGTATTTTGTACCATAATTATAGATTCCATTCCTTTTACTGCCCATTAAAGTTAAAATTAGCTTCACGCCTCCAAAAAGGGGAAATTCTCTGGGCTGTGGTATGTAGCAATGAAATCCTGATAGAACCAAGCCAACCTTTTGTCAATCGATACCGTACAGTCAAACACTAAATGAACCACGAAATAGTTCAGCATTCTACTACGCCCANTGAGGTATTAGGCGGTCCACCATTACAAGTCTAACCGTTATGTTGTCAGTTATCTCTCTCATCATTCATTATTACTATAAATCAAACGAATCAACGCTCTTGTTCTGCGTGCACTCACACACAGAACTCAGATAACGCTTCTGCTGTCCTCATTAACATTCGTGGCGTGAGAAGGAATGCCCAATTTGCAGATTACTATTCTCAATTTTCTTCCACCATGAATTTGTTTTTGACTGAAACTTAAATTTCTCCCACGTCAGACATCATTTATTTTCATTCCCTTAGTTAATTTTTCCACTGCTCTTTTTTCTCAAAGCCGGTGTCTGTGCCCATATTCATCATTGTGTTGCTTCATTTCGACTTTCGCTCCTGGAGTGCTCCAACCGGTAATGTGGGTGAGACTTCGGTTCCCCTTTTTTGATCACTACTTTCGAAACATTTACCCCTCCCCCAACAGGAACATTCCTACAATTTTTGATACTTTATCTTCCGGTAGCGATTTCAACACATTCCAGCAGCTAAATTACAATTATTGGACTTAAACATCCGAAACAACAAATGGCTGACGCCTCGATTATGAGACGACAAACCGGAGCATTTTCTGTGGGCAACAATCTGAGCCAACTAGTTAACCCCCCTCCCCTCCCCCGCTGATCTCAGATAGTATTGGTGACCGTCTCCACAATCTGGGCCTCACTTTTCAATATCACTTCCCTCGCGCCTCTAGGCTCATTGGACCATTGCCTCATTTCCCGTTTAATTCATTTTACCTCCCCGCCTTCGAAAGTCTCAGGATGGTCGGGGTGGGTGTCAGGGATTGAGACTGGTCACCATTCTCTTACACCTCGCGAAATGCTCCTATATGGCCTCTGCTGAGGAAGTCCTACTCACTGCCTTCTAGTGGAGGTGTTTTCCCACCGAAGTGAGAGGACGAAAAGCCGACATCCGGGGCTATAACCGGGTTGGTGAACAATTGGCAGTTCAACTAAGGGAGTTGGCCAAAAACCCTGATTCCAAACCAACCAAGAAGAGGCGTAAGAACCACACGCACACCTTCCTGGTCGCGACAGCGGTCACTGGTTCGATTGTTCACTTAGATCTATTGGGCACCTTGGACGTTTGACCCCGTCCAAAGGGCGTATAATGCAGCCAACTGGACATCGGCCACAAAGGACTACGGACTCTGAGCTCCGTCCTGTTGTCTTGCAGGTCTGGCTTTTTAGCCAAAGGCTTTGAATGGGGACCCCGAGGCTTTCTCCTTTCCTCGACCGGGGCAACCGGGAAGTAACATGCTCATACAACACTCTTCAAATTTCTTTCTGTTTATATGTTGTGGTACATTTACCAGTTCTCTGTAATTGGTTACTTGTTGAATATATACCTCCCTGTTTTGCCACCTAACTCAGCCAACCAAAACTGTTTTCTTGACTTTCCGGCTTAGTATCTTTGGAACGACTATCGTTTCAAACCTGATTTTTCCAACTTCACTGAGGATGTTCTCAAAGGCATATCTTTAGGCTCCACACTTTTCCGAACCCAGAAAACTACGATCTCTTGAGTGGTTTTAAGCACGCTTTCAACCGTGCTGTACTTTTCAGTTCAGGGTCCAGGACTTGGCAACGAGATGCCACATTGTCGTTTCTTGCTCTGATGGTCTCTTGTATCCCCCAGTTCTTCGAATTGACGACAGTAAAGTCCTAAGGGAACAGTAGACGCTCTGGTGTCATTCCCGTGTCCAGCTTCTGTCACAAAACTGAAGGCATAAAAACAAAAAATAAGTTATTAGTGTAGTGTGACAAGGAACATCCCTCATTCAGTGACCTTGATGCAACTTCTAGGGCATGCTCTCCATTTGCAGCTAAAACTTTTATCCCATGCTCTGTTGAACTGTAGCCTGTATTGCGTTACCGTGTCGACTTCAACAACTTCTTTCGGCAAATTATTTCACTCATTTACAACCCTGGCTGCAAAAAATTGCCTTCTGATCCCTAGTCTGGGTCTTTCTTTCTTCAGTATATTTCAGTCTGTACAACCATTAACCGTGCACCTTCGTGCGGCGGTTTTGGTTGCTTCCTTTTGGCTGCCCCGTTGGATGAACAAAAGGAGAAAGACAGGAAAGTTGAAGGTAGAGACGAAAAAAAAACGGAGAACATCAGTGACCTAAGAATGTGAAGAAATTGAATAGATGCACGAACGCCACTGTTTACGACACTCAGCTGTATCACTCAGTGTCTCTAACCATCGGTTGCGATCATCCCGAAGTCCCCAGCCAGGGAGCCTAACGGGACCTATGTTTCTCAATACCCTGATTAAGGATTTACTACCCTCTTGTCCGGTCTTAGGTTGACTACCCTTGGCTTTATTCCACCCAGTACCTGCCTCGGCAAAAATCGCTCGCTGTCAACCTATTTGGTGACATGCGTGACACATGCCCGAAACAATGTAACCTATGAAGGTCCACTACTTGCTCCAGTGGGCGACCGCGGTTACCTAAAACTCTGCGCCTAACCTCAGCATTGCTCGTCCGGCTGCCCCACCAGATGCGAGCAATGCTGCGTAGACAGCGGTGTTTAAACACCGACAGTCTACGTTTATCCTGTTTTCTTAATGGCCAAGTTTCTGTGCCGTAAAGCAGAACTCGCTGAACTTCAGCGACATAAACTGGACCCTTCATGGACAACCGGATGTCGCGACGGAGCCACAGATGTCTCCAGTCAGCCAACCGAGCCTTCTGTATGCGAGTAGACACTTCATCCGTAAAGCGTCAGCCAAATGAGATGTAGCTACCCAAATAACAAAACTTATCCACTTGCTCTATTACTTCCCCAGTTAGGGTGAGGCTGGGTGCTGGACCAACCCAGTCTTGTAGTAACATTTTACACTTTGAAGGTGCAAATCGCATAAAAAAACATGGCTACAAAAGCACTCAAGCTATCCAGAAAAGCTTGCAACTTACCTGCATCTTCGCTTAGCAACACAATGTCATTTGCATACTCTAGATCAGACAGTCTGCCACCTGGGAGTAAATGAATGCCTTGACTTGACTTGATCCTCACATGAGGATAGGGCTGTTTCCATAATCAAATCGAAAATGAAGTTGAATAGAAAAGGAGAGAGAGGGCAGCCCTGTCGAACACCACTTCCCGTGGTGAACTCGGATGAAAAAGTGCCGGACTAGCGCAGACCATCATCTGTTCCCATCAAGCACCAACTTCCGGCACAGCTCTCGACGGACGTCAATGTGGCGCTGCAGTTCAACTGGTACGCTAACTCAAATCGACCACATAGTAGTAAGTTACCGTTGGCGTGGATCAGTGTCAAATTGCAGGTCCTATTAGACCACCTGCGTTGATTCTGACCACGCATTAGTTTGATGCAGTTCACTCTCCGACTGACTGGCCGGCGACGAATTCAGTAAACTTGTATAGCTCATCATCGGCCATTTGTTCCAGCAGTTCGTGTGCGCTATGAATCAGAGCTACTGCATGAGCTAAACGCGCCTCAACGTAGTGATGTAGATGAGCAGTGGGATCAGGTTAGGCGAACAATGCATTCTGCAGCGAATGTTACTTCAAGGGTCAGCTTCAAATCCATCGGAGGCATTGGATATCTCAGGAGTCAATAGTTTTGAGGGAGAAAAACGACAAATCTCGACCTGCCAGGATCAAAATTATTAGGTTGGTTAGGTGGCATCTACAACGAAGAGCCTCAAGAAGGACCATGAGAACTGGTGGGCAACAACAGCTAGTGAAATGGAAGCAGCGGCTGCATCAGGAAATAGTTGAAGACTGTTCCGACTGTTATGCAATACGGGAGGTCGGCGAACTCCAGTTAGTGAAACAGTCTGCCATAAGACGGGACAAGCTATTCGCAATAGGGATCAACGAATCGATTGCTGGGTAGAGTACTTCAGCGAACAATTCAGCTGGCCTAGTGCTAACCAGGCCACTTTATCTGCAACTGAAGCTCCGTGGGTAGTTATGCGATCCTCCAGCAGAAGCAGAAGTTCGGTCTTGCATTCAAGCTCTGAAGCAAGGAAAGGCACCAGGACCGGATAAGCTTCCTCCCACTCTTTTCACAATGGGGGGGGGTGATAACCTCGTATGCTCTATGACTACCCTATTGTGCAGCATTTGGACGCATCTTGGGGCGAGTCACTGATCCTCCCCATTTTCAACAAAGGATCTCGCAACGATTGCGGGATCAATTTGATCCCGATCGTCGCCAAAGTGCTAGCTTCGGTTATACTTCGACGTCTGACGCCTTTAAGAGAGACCAACATCCGTGAACAGCAAACCGGATTCCGGCCTGACTGCGGATGTATTGATCAGATTTTTACTTCCGCCAGGTCCTTGAGCTGTGTCACACCCACCGTCGACCAACGATCACAGTGTTCCTTGACGCGAAGGGAGCCTTCGACTCAGTTGACCGCGAAGTTCTGGTGGGCTCAATCCTTCGGAAACGAATGCCCCAGAACTGCGTTAACCTACTGAGGTCACTGTACTCATATGCCTCCGGTCGTGTAAAGGTTTACAACAATCTAAGTCACCAGCA